TTCAAGCTTAGGCTTTATGCTCTGACCTCCAAGCCCTGGGCCACAAGATCTGAAGATCAAGTGTGAGAAAGAAACTCAGTTATACTAACACAACTCTATTCCCAGCACACGGTAAACTGAGGCAGGGTCACAAGCTAGAAGCAAAACTAGGCTACAAAAAGCAGTTCTCAGCTCATCTCTATCCTGCTTGAGCTTCATTCTGTAAATACAATTCACTGTTCTAGTCAAAGAAGCATCTTTAACAACATTGCTCTCTCTCAGTTCTTGACTCAAGGAAGAAAGCTGGCCAGCGGTCTGTTCCCTCCTACTCCTGGCTCCCCCTTCAGGCCTGAAAGATGGGCCACAAGACCTGCAGGGTCTCCACATGAGGTGATGGTGGCTCAGGACAGGAAGTGGCAGCTGCCACGCTAATCCTAGGTATGTTTTGAAAGCACAGTAAGCAGTCCTCCAAACAGACTAGATCTTGGTGTGACAGATGGAAAGAAATCACGAGTTGCTGGGGGCAGGGGGTTAAACCAGGCTGATAAGTTGGGAAGGAAAGTTCACTGAGACTGGGCAGACTGGTTAGGGCTGGTATGGGAAAGACTGGGAGTTTGGTGTAAACACTGGACGAGAATGTCTATTCAGTCTAGAGATCTGGGGAAGTCTGAGCTGAAGACCCAGATCTGTAAAGCTCGACATGCTTCAGATCACTCGAGAAGTCAAGAGGATGTGAGATGGGTGTGAACGCCATGCGCACATCGGCAGCGTGTGTCCAGGAATGCAGCACCACGGCCACAGCAGGATTCTGACACTAGTCTGCATTAGCGGTTGCATAATATGTGGTCACCACCCCAATACACACTGTCCTCATCAGCTATTTGCTAGAGTCCTGTGCCAGTTCTGTGGCTTAAGAGGAATGCGAAGAATCTGGACTCAGCCTGGGAAAAAGGCAGCCATGTAATGAACAAACGAAAGAAAATGAAATCCAGCAAAGGTTAGAAGGAGTGAGACAAGCTTACCAGAGATAGGCACAGCAGCAACTCATGCTGTTCTCTGAAGCACAGGGTCTGAAAACTCAGAAGCCACTGCTTAGGTCAAGCAAAGAAAAAGGAATCAAGCTTCCCTTGAAGCACACAATCCTTAGATCAGGAATAAAGGAGAGCTGACACCTACTGTATTAGGTATAAGACCCTGAGGGGCTTCCCACTGTACAGATCAGAGAAGTGAATTCAACAGATTAGACTGGTTTACCAGTAAGAAAGCTTCGATTCCCACCTCTGTGTAGTGAGTCTAAGGCTGTGCTCTTTAAAGACATCAAGCTCCATGACAGGGGTTATATGATGAAGCAGAAACTGATTTCTGAGAGTTAGCAAGCTCCTGGCTTCAGACCTTTCAAAGAGTATTAGAGATTCTGAGCAAAACTGAATACATCTCACAAAGTGGATCTCCCTACTGACAGAAGAGGACAGACAGCCACTCTTCAAATTCTTTCCTGGCCTGAGGTCAGAAGGTCGGGTCCTGAGAGCAGCGACACAGGCAACAAGCACAGCATTACAGTTTCCCAGGCAGTCAACACACTCCCGTTTCAGCTTTCTAAACTTAAGGGCAGGCTGGGGAAGCAGCTCAGGAACAGACTTGCTGAGCATGCCCGGAGCCCCAGGTGCAGCACCACCACCACCAGTGAAAGCACCACCACCACCACCACCAGCAGAAGCAACAAACCTTAAAACACATTAAATTCTAAAACATTAACATCAGAATCACATAAAACAGAGTGTACATAACTCAGCAGTTAAGCGTCTAGGACTTGAGTCTAGCACGTTTTGTTTGACTGTAGAAGGAACGAATTTAAAGTTATCAAATGAGATAAGCTTGCAATAGATCTCAAGGTTTGGGCTGTGCTTGTTATGTTCAAAGAACCATGAACTGTCTTCAAGGATAAGAAATTCTGTGAAGTCAAACAGCCCCAGAAGCAAAGTGGTACGTTAAGATACCTTAGAAGAACTGATGTATGGTGTTTAATCCCAGCACTTGGGAGGCAGAGGCAGGCAGATGTCTGTGAGTTTAAAGCCAGCTTGTCTACAAAGTGAGTTCCAGGACAGCCAAGGCTATTATACAAAGAAACCTTGTCTCAAAACACATGTATGTGTGTGCATGAACACAGACACACAGACACACACACACACACACACACACACACAGAGAGAGAGAGAGAGAGAGAGGGAGAGAGAGAGAGAGAGAGAGAGAGAGAGAGAGACAGAGACAGAGACAGAGACAGAGACAGAGACAGAGACAGGATAGCTTAGAATCCACCCCATTGAGTCTGTGACACAAAATTAAGGCAAGAGTCTACCCATATCAGAACACACCCAACAAAACTGTTTAGTTGAGTATCTAGTCCTGGGGCATGTGGTTTTATTTAAAGCCCACCCAACCAGCTCCTAAGGTGTGGAAGGTCTAACATATCACCCTACTAGCAGATTGCTACATGCTACATTTTAAAGGATGCTAACAGAAGATACATTCCTGTCTGAGATAAAACGTCTTACTCGTCAGTACAGCCAGAGTATCCATGTTTGTACTGGTTCAAAACCTAGTGCTACAGGTCATGCACATGACAAAAACTGCATCTCAGCACAGGGACCCCAAGTTCAGAGAAGCCACATCTCATCACATGGGTAGTAGTGTGCCTGACCTGTGCCCTGGAGTTAGTAATCTTCATTCCAAACACTTTCTGTCCTGGATGGAGGGAATAGACCTGTGCCCACTACAAGGGTGTTCACTCTATACATCCCTCGAAAGGAGGCCAGAAGCCAAGGAGGTCTGTTCGCTCTGTCCCTAGGACACACAGACAACCCCCCACATACCTGGGCTCTGGGCCTGGAGCTCACTATTGCTAATGTGTGGATTCTCCCCGAAGTGAACTACAGAGTCAACAGACTCACTTTCTAAAAGGGTTTCTCTTTGGTATTATGTGACAAATTATTATGTGGCAAACACATGTCAGAGGACTTAGAAACAGCCAAAGCAAGCTGGAAAAAATACAGCTGGAGCATTTACGTACTTAAGATGGCAACACCGTCAAGATTGATGCAAAGCACATTCAAAGATGTTTAACACTTAGGTCACAAACCCAGACAAAGAGTTAAGATGCCTAGCCAACATATCAAATCAGGCCCTGGCCACCAGGTTTTCCCAATATCCCTCAGTCCCTACCTGTTACAGGGTCCTGGCTGGCATACCGAATCCCCTACCTTAATATTCTCCAGCCCAAGGACTGGGCTGAGCTGCCTTTCCCCTAGCTGCTGTTCCCTAGATAATCCAGCATTTTGGCTAGATTGGTCCTATTTTTACCCTTTTTCCTTTTTGTTTGGCCTCTTGGTCTCCTGACTCCCCTCACAATGGCCCAACTCAGGGTTGTGTTCACTCTGGACTCTGGTTCCCCATGTTCCTGCCTCTAGCTACTATGTTCTCCTCCATATCTACCATGAACCTTCTCCTCCACCATACCTAAGAGTGGTCATATCCTCCCTTTTATTTCCTTTCTTTACTGAATCAACACTAGTAATAATGGAACAGTGGTTCACCAAGGAACCCCTACTGAAATATCTAAACCTAAATGGAACAAGCAGACCAAGAACTATGAGGACAAACAGCTGATGCTTTGCTCTCTGCTGGAGCGTGAGTGGCAGAACACTGGGCAGTTTAAAAACATGAATGGGCATCTTCCATCTGATCCAGACACTCTGCCTAGGAGACACCCAAGAGAAATACCGGCACATCTTCACCCAAAGACCTGCACAAGGAGACTCCAGCATCTATCTGTGTCTGTAACATGTCAAAGCTGTAAACAACCCAGAAGGTCCATCTGCATAGTGGAGCAGCACTTAACAGGAAGCAGTGCACTAGTAAGATCCAGTCACTGTAGAAGCAGACACTGAGCAGCAGTGCAGAAGAGAGGTGAGCAGCTCACTGGAAAGCGAGAGGCAGGTGGGAGGGGGAAGTGCCTTGCAGGGTGATGTCTGTGACTTTGACTATGGTAATGATTTTATAGGTAGATATTTATATGCAAATGATCCATTTTTCATTTAAGATACATACAGTTATTGGATCTCAATAAAACTATTAGAAAAGAAAGTATCGCCGGGCGGTGGTGGCGCACGCCTTTAATCCCAGCACTCGGGAGGCAGAGGCAGGCGGATTTCTGAGTTCGAGGCCAGCCTGGTCTACAGAGTGAGTTCCAGGACAGCCCGGGCTATACAGAGAAACCCTGTCTCGAAAAACCAAAAAAAAAAAAGAAAAAAAAAAAAGAAAAGAAAGTATCAAGAGTAACTAAAGTTCAAAAACAGATTTGAGTTATGAAAAAATGAAAAAATCATTTTTTGTCACTTGAATATTTGAATGATGTGTATACTTTTTAGGCTTTACAATTATGGTGAAATTGGGACAGGACTTTAGGTAAAGATCAACAAGAAAGCAGCAGTAAGGTAAGTTGTTTATTTACAGCTCTGAAGTTACGGTCGTATGGGACTTTGCATGTCTCCCATCTCACTTTGTCTAGACTTCTGGACTTCTCCTTCCGTGTGCACAACTTCTCTACTATTCTGCTTTCAGAGAAGGAGCGTGCTGTTGACGTTTCATAAAAATGACCTTTGTGTCAAGGGTCACAACTAAACTAAAAACCATATTTAAGAAAAATAACTATAAAACCACTGATGTACCAGTTGGCTTTCTAAAATTGGAAGTCATTTGGGGGAGGAGCAGGGACAGGCATTGAGACGCCAATGTCTGAGAGTACCCAGATTTGAACATTACCACTATGAAAGAGTATTCCTCTTCCATCCCCAGAAGCTACCCCCACACAGAGAACCTGTAACTTGCCAAGCTGCTCTGGAAATTCATTTTCAAAGAGTAAACATCGTAAGACAATGGCTCCTGCTTTCTAACACATCAGTCCCTCCTCCAGCTGTGGGAGCAGAGCATACGACCACACAAGAACATATCAGAGGACTCCTTACCACTCAAAAGCCACCACAGCAAAGGGATAAATCCAGGACTCTCACTGATGTATTTCAAGCCTTTTGAATTGATGCTCACATTATACAGGGACATCAGCATTAGACTGAAAAGCAAAAGAATATGGTGTTGACATGCTAGGCTATCCACACTGCATATATTTCACCTTGAATTCATCTCCTACTCTAAAGGACCTAGACATTTTTACTTCTCGGATGTGCAACAATGATATCTGGGTAGGATATGTACAAAGTGGAAGACATGTTTAACGGCTTCATCTACAGAAAGCGGTAAGATAAGAGGACGCTTTAGCAGCAGCACTGTGACATCACCTTCTGTGTATTAACCACAGGCAGAGGGTCTCGTGAGAAACCTCACGACCCAATGTCTCAGCCCTTGTAGTACCAAGCCTGTATTTCTATTCAGGCAGCCCTCAGTTTATAAGTGTACTGTGTTCTTGAGGTTCAATGAAGTCATCTAAAATCTACTCATAGGTTTTATCCAAAGAGTTCCTGGTGGCCTGAATAGGAATGGTTCATAGGTTCATGTTTAAATACCTAGTTCCCAGTTAGTGGAATTATCTGGGAAGAATTAGGAGGGATGGCCTTGTTGGAGGTGTCTCACTGAGAGTAGGCTTTCCGGTTTCAAAGGACTATTCTCAGTGTGCTGTCTACTTCCTGTTTAGGGGAGGATGTGAGCTCTCAGCTGAGACCGCACTGCCATGCCTGCCTTCTTGCTGCCATGCTCCCCACCTGGATGGTGATGGACTCTCTCTCATCCCTCTGGGACCACAACTCAAGTTCCTTTTACAAGCTGCCTTGGTCGTGCTGCCTCATCACAGCAACAGACAGTAACTAAGACACAGGCTGACACCGAGTGGACTGACTGCAGTGCCAGATTTGACCGTGTGGGTTCAGAGGACGGGAAGGCTTGAAGTTCTGGACTAGGAAAATGGTTGAGTGCTGTAAGCAGAGGTTAATGGGCCATCCTAGCAGGAACCTAGAAGCCAGTGCTGAGTGCACAGGGACTGTGGAGATCAGGCCCAAGACGCTTTGGAGGGACACTGTCAGCAACTAGGCTTGAGACCATTCTGCAGCTACCTGAGCAAGAATGGCCCTCTTTCTAAGAACCTGGCTGAGGTAAACTGAAAAGTAAGTAAGTTCTTCGGTAGAGGCGATTTCAAGGCAGCCTGCTACGGAGTCTGTCTTACGCTCATTAGTGATCGCTGATGCAGGTCTACTATGGAAAAAAAACAACAAGCAGGGCAAAGAGAAATACAAAATGCATAGTTTGGAGAAAAATGTGGGAGCCAAAGCTTGTGTTGAAAGAGATGAGAAGATTAAGAAGGCTGAATCACACTGAAATAAAGGGATGGATGTCCTCAGGGCACGACTTCACGCAGATAAGCTTCTAACTTGTGAAAGGAAAAAGCCTAAGGAACGGTCTGCTCCTCAAACTCAAACCAAAGCTGCTGCAGATGTGACTCTAGAGGACAAGGCTCGCCCCACACTGGCAGTGTCATCTATGTGCTGCTGACTTTCACGTCATGAGGAACACACACCAGCACAGGGATCATGGGATCCTCCTCTGTGGTTACAGATTGCTGCTCAGGCCAGGCATGCGTCAGGAGACTCCCTGCACGGAGGCCCTCAAAGGCCATCATGTGAAACTATAAAAGTGAAGCCTGCACTGCACTGGAGTCCCAAGGTATGGAGATGTCAGAGCCACGAGAATCTGCCAAGAAGAGCTGCAGACAGGGAACGGACCCGCCGGTGAGCGAGAGGTGTTCCAGGCAGCAAAGCTGGCAGGAAGAGTCGGCTGAGCTCTTTGACACTGCACGCGGAGCTACACGATTGAAAGGACGCCCTGCTGGGTCCAGTCTGGCTCTGGTCCACCATTTCCTAACTCGGCCCTACCCCTCCTCTCTGGGGTGGTAATGTATACTCTGTGCCGTTGCATATTATTATACGTATATAATTTGCTTTTTTATTGCCTTGAGTCTCAGAAGAGATTTTGATCTTTGGACTTTTAAACAGTGTTAGACTTACATTTTTAGGGACTTTTGAAGTTGGACTAAACGCCTTTTGTATTATGATATATATGGCCATGGGCCTATGGGAGCCAGAGTCTGGAATGTACTTGTTTGAATGAGAATAACTCATAGGCACACATGTTTAAATACTTGGTTCCCAGAATGGATGAAACTTTTTTAGGATGGATTAGGTAGGAATCGTGGCCTTGTTGGAGGAAGTGTGTCACTGGTGCGGGCTTTAAGGTTTCAAAGGACTCCTAATGTGTTCTCTGCTTCCTGTTTGTGGATTAAGATGTGAGCTCTCAGATGAGGCTCCATCGCCATGCCTGTCTGCCTGTTTCCATGTTCCCGGCCTTGATGGACCCTTATCCCTCTGGAACCACAGGCCCAAATAAACCCTTCCTTTTATAAGTTGCCTGGGTCGCAGTGTTTTGTCAGCACAGTAGAAAAGTAACTAAGACAATGAGACATGTGACAGTACCCAGGCCTGGCCAGGCCAGATGGCATAACACACTATGTGAAGATCCCATCTATCACAGCCCATACTCTGAGCAACCAAGGCCACAGCCCCAGCAAAATGGGATTTTACCTACTGTTCTGAACAACTAGCAAGTAAAGTACCCATTAGAAGCTGTAAACTTAGATCTTTAGATTCTGTAGGAACTATATAATATGAAGACTCCCAGACTCTTCGTATTGCTGAGCAATATACAAGCTAGACAACAGGTTTGGAGATGGCTTCCTAGATAAAACTGCTTGCCACACAAGCACCAGGAACTTGGTTCAAATCTCCAGAACTTACATAAAGCTAGATGTAGTGGAATACATCTATAATCTCAGTGCCCCTGCAGCAGGATGGGAAGTGAGAGAATCCCTGGAAACTCATAGCCAGCTAACCTGGAAACCACAGTGGCAACCAAGGGACCCAGTCTCAAAACGATGGAAGGGGAGGCTGGACACCTGAGGTTTTCCCATGACCTGTACATGTGTGCCATGGCACGTGCACGCTCACATTCACATAGCTACACATGCTCTATGGCATGTACATGCCTGTGCTCTACACAGATACCATACAAACACACACAAAGCTAGACAACAGCTGGAGAGCACTTCAGTGGTAGAGTACTACCTAGCATGGCAAGGCCTTCCTGGGGGAGGGGCTATTTTGTAATTCTATGTACAACATTTTGACACAGGCACATGCACCCATATGAACTTGAACGCTACAGTGCCTATTTCTCTTTGCCTAAATTCTTTAATGACAAGACTTCATTTTAAAATTGCCAATGAGCTTGCAAGGAATTAAATGAGCACCTATTCGTTCCAGTCCAAGGTGGGAGGCAAGTACAGCCATGACAGGCTCCAGAAGCTGAGCGCTCTCATTACACCACCTTTATGTGGAAAGACAGAGAGAAAGGCCCAGGCGGACAGACACAGATACAGTCAGAGACCCTGCTGAGAAGCAGAAAATAACAAACTTCAAGCCTGGCATGAACTCATACTGTAAGCAAGCCTTAAATGCACACAAACCAATGACAATATACAGTCAGCCAGAATGGGAGAGTCCCCACTCTTCCTGGACAGTAAAGATCTACCTGGTCTTCCAAGAAGCACAGACAAAGCCCTAACAAATGTGAGTTTATATCACAGACCACTGGATAGTGCCTGAAAAACCAAGACTGAACAAGTAACAGCCAGCATAAGAACAGTAGCAGAGCCAGAACCAAACAGTTTTCAGTCATTCGAGTTATCAACCCCAGAACAGAAGACAGATATGCTGACTAGGTAGAAAAAAACTTTGTTATTTCTTGGTTTTGTTTTTGATTTGTCTTGTTTTTTTATAAAAAAAAAAAAAAAAACAGTCTCACTATGTAGTTCTGAGTATCTTGGAACTAGAAACACAGACCAGGCTAACCTTGAATTCACAAGAGGTCAGTCTGCCTCTGCTCCCTGCGTGCTGTGATTAAAAGTGTGCACCACTAATGTCCAGCAGTAAAAATTAAGAGAAACTAAAACAAGACCAAGAAGCTAAGGCCACCATTATGAATCACCAGGCAAAGCAAAACAAGTGGCGGCTAGGTCAGGGAGGTGTCTCAGTCAGCTATGTGCTTGCTATAGGTCAGGGAGATGTCTCAGTCAGCTATGTGCTTGCTATAGGTCAGGGAGATGTCTCAGTCAGCTATGCTTGCTATAGGTCAGGGAGGTGTCTCAGTCAGCTATGCTTGCTATAGGTCAGGGAG